CGCTCCCGGTCCCTTCAAGGATTCCCCTGGGCCACGGGAGCGCTCCCGGTCCCTTCAAGGGCTCTCCCGGTCCCTCAGGAACGCTCCCGGGTCCCTCACGAGCGCGCGCCCGTTCCCCCGCCCGTCCCCTCACGTGCACTCACCGCCCCGCGCGCCGGCCCCGCAGATTCGCCACACGCGCGCGCCCACGAGGAGGCCCCGCACGACCCGGGCCCCGCAGATTCGCCACGAGCCGGCGAATCGGCCGCGAGCGGATCCGCCGCCCGATTTACCCTCTCGGTCCGCGCGTTTCCCGCCGGACGCTGTTGAGGGGCGGACCCGCGTTTCCCGCCGGACGCCAGTTGAAGGGACGCCGTGGCCATGGCACCGCGCGCTTCCGGTGCCGCCGGTTCGACTGGGACAGCGGGAACCGGGCTGGGATAACGGGAACGGGGCTAGGATAACGGGAACGGGACCGAGACAGCTGGAGAGAGGCAGGGACAGCAAGAACGGGGCAGGACAGTTAGAGAGAGGCCGGGACAGCGGGAACGGGGCCGGAACAACTGGAGAGAGGCTGGGACAGCGGGATCGGAGCGGGGACTGCGGGAGAGAGACCAGGACAGCGGGATCGTAGCCAAGACAGCGGGAGAGAGGCTGGAATAGTTGGAGGGAGGCCGAGACAGCGGTAACGGGGGTGGAATAGTTAGAGGGAGGCCAGGACAGCGGGATCGGGGCCGGGACAGAGGGAGAGAGGCTGGGATAGTTAGAGGGAGGCCGGGACAGCGGGAGCGGTGCTCTCAAGGACGGCAGCCGTGGGAGGGAGCCGCGGCCCGGAGCCTTCAGGCCGCTGCCGCCACAGCGCCCGGCCCGCACGGACCCGCTTTGAGAAGGCGCCGCTCGCCTCAGGCTTTTACATGGCAGCGGAGAGCAGCCCCAGCAGCAGCCAGGGCTCGCTGGGCAGCCAGGGCTCGCTGGGCAGCCTGACGGCAGGCGAGGTGCTGGTCCGCTCCACAGCCGTCCGCGGACGGCCGGTGACGGTCGCTGTGCAGAAGCTCCGTGCCGGGGGCTCGCCCTGCCCGGGGGATTTGTCTGCAGACGGAGCTCCCCGCATCTCCCCGGCCGCGGTGCCGGCCTGGGCTCCGAGCGGGGCAGGAACCCCCCGGGACTCCCCCAGCGCCTCTCCAGGTGCGTCAGTCACCGCCGCGTTCAGCTCAGGCTTGTGCTGAAAGCGCTGAGAGGCGACTTCAGCCACGGAGGAGTTCTGTAATTGGGGAATCTTTGCATTCTCGTACCGCAGTTGTCAGCACTCTTTGTTTTCCCAAACGTGGAAAGTGAGTTGTGCAGGTACACAACCCTGGCACAGGTTGCCCAGAGAAGCTGTGGCTGCCCCATCCCTGCCAAGTGTTCAAGACCAGGTTGGATGGGGCTTGGAGCAGCCTGGAGTAGTGGAAGTTGTCCCTCTCCATGGGGGCAGGAATGCTTAATCCCTGTTAAACGTCCCTGTTAAACATCCCTGTTAAACATCCCTGTTTAAAGGATGTTTAGTAATGTTCTGTTTTTCAGAGCTTTCCCCATGCTGTAAATAAAATTTCTCATTCAGACTCACAGAGTTCATTGATGTTTTTAAGCTTCAGCTCCATCTCTGTGGTCATTTGTGTTATGAGGGTTGTGATGTTTAGGCATTCTAAGATAAGGGAAATGTGGAGTGGTACTGAAAATGAACCACAAATTATTCTGACCACAGTAAAACTGCTTTTATTTTAGGAGTCCTAAGCACCAAGGGATATCCAGAATGTCTGCTTCCAGTCGAAAATTCAGCACCCATGTTTTTATCCCAAATGGTAAGAAAAGTTGCTGTTCCTTCCTGCAATCCTGAGCTTTAGAACAGAACACTGTTTTCCTCGAAAAGCTGTAGCTCCTCTAAAAGCAGATTTTGGCTCAGCCTCTGCACCACAGCTGTGCAGCTGCTTTTCCTCTTCAAGTTGCTGCTAATGTGGTGTTACTGCTGCTGTCTTTGGAGGGGCTTTATTTAACACTGATTCTCAGCAGTGTTTAATTGTTTGAGCAATCCTGAATTGTCCAAGATTAGCAACTGCTCTAAACTTAAGCAGATATAGTTTCACTACTGCTTCTTTGGCCACAAATGAGGAGAATAAACTTGCTTAGCACTTAGAATATGTGGTTTTAATTTGAGTTGTATTTGTGGAGTTTTAGTGGAGATTATTTAGTGGAGTCTAGTGGAGTTTATTGTGGAGTTTTAGTCCCTAAAATGCCATGTGAGTTCTTGATAACAGTGTCCAGACTCTTCCGTGGCAGAGGTCATCATGTTTTGTGCCTAGACCTTTGTGTTGCTGTGTGCAAATGGTTCCAGTTGTGTGCTCAGCAATTCCACCTGCCCCTAAAATTTTGGTACTGTTGGCAGAGGCTTTGATCTCTGCTTTTTCTGCTCTTGTTCTGAAGGATTATCCTCGAGAAGCTGCAGCAGGAGATGATCCTTCACCGCTGCTGGAAAATAGCAGAGGACCTGAAGGTAAAACACATCAATCACTTTTTTTTTTTT